TTGGCGATGCGCTAGGGCACACCATGCTGCTCAATGTGACCTTAAGATGCCCTGCAACCTCTGCCAAGGCACTCATCTCCGCCCTCTTCATGAGGTGAATGTTGGTCTATTGTCCTTGAAATAGTGGTCAAGAGCCCAGGCAAGACTGTCAGCTGGCCTGTCTGAACTCAAAAAGATGAATATTTTTCCAAATCTATCACTTATTTATAATAGTATCAAAACTAAATGTCTAACAAAGTTTTTACAATGATTTCACTTTTGGTGTGAAAGGGCATTTACTTTTGCCAAAAATAGAACTTTAGATTTTCAATCAAGTCCAATCAACAATCAAGTCCAGCCCAGGTGAGAAAAAGTAACATAAAAGTAACTTAACATTACTTTCCATAAAAAGAAACTAAGTAACACAATTAGTTACTTTTTTTAGGGAGTAACGCAATATTGTAACGCATTACTTTTAAAAAGTAACTTAACCCAACACTGCTGATCTCTCAATCTGATCTATCAGTGTTACAAGTTGACATGCTACTATGTACTACTTTCATGTTATCACTGTGAAGCTGCTTTGATGCAATCTGTATTGTGAAAAGCGCTATATAAATAAATGTGACTTGACTTGACTTGACTTGACATGCTCCTTCCAACGTCACAACTTGTCAACTCATGTATCATCTAGAATTCAGAGTTTCCCACTTGTAAATACACTTTGGTAGCCTGGTTAAAACCAGACCATTCTCCGTTTCCAAAGGGGCGTCACCAACGGACGTAGCTCAAATGCCTATGGGCGCAATTGGATAGACCTAAAACCAATCAGAGCGATGAAGGAGATGACGTATGCAGAGCGATGTTTGTCTGTTATAGAACAATTTGAATAAACAAGCAGACACTGATTAGCTACTTGCTCTACGTTTATGTAAAATTTACAGCAAGACAACTAGAAGTGAATGTGCTTTCCATTAAATAAATCACACACAGTAAACAAAACCTTAACAAAAAAACCTTTGCAATGAACTTTGCAATTTAGACGAGCAAACTGGTGCAGTGAGACGTACATGCTCGGGCAGATTCGGCTTAAAGTCGTTCATCCTCGGACGCGGCGCCGCGCGCGCTGTTCCAAAAAAAGCCGTGCACACAGGCAAGGGCGAAATGGGGTCTTGCCGGTCTTGCGCACCGAACGCGTCATTTTTGCCACGCGCACCTTCGCACTCGTGCGGATGCGTCGAGTATAAACAAGGCTTTACTCCGTGTCAGCGCGCGCTCTGATCGGTAAAGGGGTACAGACCTCTCCCGAATCATCTCCAGCAGTAGCAGCCTCCGAAGCACCACTAACTCCGCCTACGTTTTCCGCGTAAGCTGATATTAGTATTTAAACATTCTCTATGCTAAAAAATTTTTGTGAAAAAAAATATTTTTATAACATGGTTTTGGCGGTTATAGAGTTCTAATTACGGTGTTCAACTATAACCGTCACACCCCTAGTTCCACGGCGGCATCCATCTTTGTAAATGTACAAAATCTGCTTCACCGTTGCTGTGCTGTCGTCATCGTGTAAAGTCCGCCCCAACGTTTCTGATTGGTGCAGCGATTTCGACGGATTAGAAATGGGCTTGAAAGACCTCTTTAGAAAGACTTGCAGAGCAAATCTAAATTTGCCGGAAGTTGTCTGGGTTTTCCCAGGCTAACACTTTGGACATTCATGAGCTTGAAACTAATAATTATGAAATTCCAACTCCACTTGAAGGGCACATTAACGCCTGTTAGTGTAAACAGGGCCACTGGTTGTGTAGTTGGAGTGGTCAGTGAGATTGATGTTTGGCTGACCCCTTCTCTAAATGTATGTGACTGTAAACAAACATGGCTGCTGCTGTTGTGTGACTCAGTGGTTGACACCAATTCGCACGGATATTCTGAATTAAGCTGAGCATGATGCTTTGTGTCCAATGGCACATCCAATGCTAGGTACAGTGTGATCACATGTCTTAAATAGCACACAAACCAGAATAGCCCGTGTCATACCAATAATTCCCATGCAGTGAATTTAAATTATTTTGTTTGGTTCCTGGAATGTAACTCTGAATAGTGTTTTTCCATGCTTGCCCTGCTTATTTAGAATAGCATGCCAGTGAGTGTTTATTTGGGAAAGGTAAAGATTGATTGAAGCGCTAATTGCACACAGCATGACTTGTGTGGCACTTTGTAGCTCGCCTTTCCCCCTGATGTCTGTTCAATCTGATATGCAACCTACACACCTGCACGGATATCCAGGGAACAGTCTTTTAAACCCATGCTTGCTTGTTTTGATTGACTGTGGTAAAAAAAGCTAGCGAAAAAATTATCAATTCTATCTGGGGGCCTTGCAGCAAGAACACAACACTCCGGTGAGAGCTAAATAATAATAACAAAAAAAAAAATACATGAATGCGTCAGCCCTCATTTGTCACTTATTTTTAAAGCCTAAACAAATATTCTGTAGCCATCATCCTGCCCCTTCAGTGATCACACAGGGTGTGGGTAATTATCCACCCACTCACATGTAGGCCATTATACTTGATTTGGACATTGCACAGAGACTGTTTTGATAGCATGTCGTCAAATTCAGAAAATGGCGAGCAAGAAGGACTAGGACCCAAACAGTGCTTCAGAAATGCCGCCAATTACAGTGTCTAAGCAAAAAGCTTTTTGGAGAGCAACTGGGCTATTACTAAACGACATCTGGTAAAGATTTCTGACACAAGGCTTGAAGTAAAGCATTGTACAGGAGCTCCATATTTAGCTTGGTGATGACTGGTTGTTGCGTGAATGCCTGCTCATAATTACACCTTGAGTTCTGAGTGCTCTGAGGAGTGGGATGTAGGATTTATTGAATGGCATGTTCAATGCTCTGCTTTTTCAGTCCTTTCTCTACATTGCTCTTAGAAGCATTCATTAATACATTGACAGAACTCTTTCTTTAGTCATTTGGAAAACAGCACAAGGACAGTCCATTTTAACCAACTAAATCCAGTCTATAAATAACACGCAGAACAAAATATCTTTCACTCAGTAATCTTTGTGGTATTTTAGTCACCAGATCTGACAATATGTTGCTTTGTCTGTCAGAACTGCTTATTAAAATTTTTAGCCAACTAAAATGTTCAGAACCTTGGTATTACATCTTCTCACATTTGAAGATTAGCCTACATCACTTATTCTGGTCTGGACTGCAAAACGGCACACCTCCACAGCATATGTAATATGAGAATGAGAGAGTCTGACATTCTCCTTGCCATCATAATTTCCCATCTTGATTACTGCAATGCCCTTTTCATCAGCCTAGTCAACAAAACCATTGCTAGACAAAGTGGTAACCTGTATCATCCTGTATTAAGTGCAAAAAACTGCTCTTAACCTTCACAGCTTATTTTCTGATATTTATTTTTACAGTGGACAAATATACCTAATATAAGCCAAGCTAAATCGTCTACTAATATGTAAACTTTCCAAAAATATTTTGTCCTCCTTAGAAAGAACTCACCTTGGTGAGGTACCATGGGAAAATACCATCATAGTTTTCAGGAACACCAATTTTAAGATGAGCGGTCTCAGAAATCAAAATGTTCTGAGTCAGCACCTAAAATAGAAAGCAATTAATTGCAGAAGTTAAATCATGGTGAGTGGTAAACATGTATATAGGCCTATTCCAGACAAAAAGGCCAAGAGAACTTACGCTCAGTGCAATAAAGCAAGCACTCAGAGATTCCATCGAGCCAACAGCGGCCTTCATGCCTGAGACAAAAACAACAACATAATTTTAGCATTTAACTGCTTATTTTCTTTAAAGTTCAAGCTTGAGTTTTGTTCAGTTCACAGAGAAGAGATAAAGATAGAAATTGAATACTGGATTTGCTTTTAAGGTGCACTCAGTAGCTGCCTAAGTTTGTGTTGATTTTGTTTTAACCAAGAGCCACATGTAGGCCTGTTCCTGAACACTTAGAATCTTATGTGAATGTAGCCTAAGCCTACATAACTGTAGTGTAGGCTATACAAACGTTTAAACTAAACTAAACTAAACTAAACTAAACTAAACTAAAAACCATTGGGTACACGTTTAAGAGAATGTAATTGGCTGAGTGAACGAATCAAGCGTGCCATCATACTTTTTCTCCAGTTAATGTTCAACTCGAGTAGGCTACATCTCATTAATGTAACATCACGTAAGTGTCGAGTTACTTGTGTACACTTTTTTCAGAGATCTACACAATTTAGGCTAACTTCTTTTTTTAAAATACAATACATAAAACAAGAATATCCGGGAGGTAGGCCTACCGGTTTCAGAAAAGGATAAATAATACGCAGCGATTACATCAAAAAAAAAAAAAAAAAAAAAAAAAAAAAAAAGAACTACTCCGTGATTACGTCAGTAAAAGAACAAAAAAATACCATATAGCCTAATACGCCATGTGACACAGAACTAAATAGATCTGCTTGCACTTTAAAAAATAAATAAAATATAGCCTAAATAAAGTTACGATAGTCTACTGTAACAAGTAAAATGCGGATGTTTTATGATGAAATAAGAATAAGTGTAGCCTAATAAAAACAACGCAAATAATTTAAAACGACACCAAAAATCTCCAAATTACCGTCAGGGTGAACTGAACATATCCCGGATACAGCAAAATCTTATGCGCTTTTTTCTTCTGTTTATCTGATCATATAGGCCTATGTTGTTTAATAAAAGCAGCTCTTACCTCCCGTCCACACTTGCCGATAGCGAAATTGAGAATGGCTAAAGAGTTAGAAAAGCATTGCATCTGCCTTGTATCTGATTAATGATTAGCTTTCTTAATTTGTCTGAGAAAACCTTTAACTACCTTGTTTCCTCCAATTATACTACATCGTCCTTGGCTTGCATATGTATGGGGGAATAAATTACATGGTATTATAACCTCAAGTTTGAATCATGTATTTTGTGTTTGTAGAAAGAGTAAATTCAGATTGTTTTATATATATATATATATATATATATTTTTTTTTTATTAAAAAAACAATTGTAAACATGTAACAAAATTAACAACTCAATAATATTAAATGCCTTTAAGTGCAAATCAAACGTTGTTAAAAACAGCTCACAAAACATAATTTATTGCTTCTATGTCGTCACTTGCACACGGAGCATAGATGTCGAAGTAGCTATATGTCAGACCTCTTATATTGAAACTTCTTATATTGCCTCTTGCCCTCCCCTACCCCACGCAAAAAAAAAAAACCCCAAACCTTCTAGTTTGGTGTCTTGGCTGAGTTACGAACCTGCGCACTCAGTTTCAAGTAACATTAGATTCCATGTTATTTAAACAAGAAAAAATTACTTGTGCTCATCTATATGCACACATGTGCATTCCACATCTGATACAGCTGTAGTCCACATCAGGAAAAGAACCAATTTCTTTTGCCTCCGTGCAAACATAACCATAGCTCTCCGAAGGGAACATTGTGATTGGTGGATTTACCTCCTATTTACATGCGTAGAATTTGACAACTATACATATTAAGGCAACGAAACAAAAAAAAAAGTAACGTAACAATAAAAAAGCCTCATGCCGGCCATCATAATCAACATGATTTTGTCAGTTTTGTTTCATATATAATCTCCTTTTCAGTTTACAAAACAAGTTCATATTTGTCTGTACAGCTAAATAGTCCTTATATTAACATTAAAACACACAGCTTCTGGTCGTGGGTATCAGAGCGCACATTAGTCCAGTTTTTCAGAGCACTGACAGGTCGTGACAGGATTTGGACTTCTGTCTAAAGGCCATCTTCTTGTTCTTCCGGGCCACCATACGGCCCAGGAAACGTTTGGCCTTTTTGCTGATGCTCTCGCGGCGCTTGCAGTTGGCCATGCGGCGGGCGTTCTCTTCCTTGCTGTCCTTGCGAAGGCGAATTTGCCGTACGATGCCCTCGAAGAGGTCGCGCACATTGTGATGCAGGGAAGCTGAGGTCTCAATGAACTTGCAGTCAAACACAACGGCACAGGCACTGCCCTCTAGAGAGACACGGAAAAAGAGATGCAGGTGAGCAATAACTCCATTACCAGAGGGACTGAGGCTACAGTGTCATCATTACTATATGCCTCCTGGCTGTTCCTCAAAGCTCAGGAGAGATGAGTACTTTATCCAAAACATGACTCCAACCAGAGGCTGCAAAGTCTGTGTTTCTACATGCCATATTTAAAATAGAGAAGAAGATGGGTGAAATCTTACCATCTACAGAAACTTCTCGGGACCGCACCAAGTCACTCTTGTTTCCCACCAGGATGATGGGGATGTTTTCTGACTGCCGAGCTCTGCGCAGCTGGATTCGTAGCTCTGAAGCTTTCTCAAAACTGGACTTGTCTGTCACCGAGTACACGATGATATAGGCATCTCCCATACGCATGCACTGATCTTTCAGCCACTGGCTGTTATCCTGTAGGAATAAAATTTACGGTTATACAATGCAAAGTTTATGGTAATCATAATCCATTCCATTTTTTAAATCTATTTATATTTATTTTAATTAATTTAAAATATTGTATTATTTGTAATTAGTTTAATTAATTTAAAATATTTGTATTTTTTTAAATGAATTTAAAATAAATACGTGAATAAATATTACTCTTAATGTTGATTGCTTACCTGTTCCCATATATCATACAGAAGGATTGACGTCTCCTCATCATCAACCACAAGGGATCTGTCATATGTGTTTCCTGAAATTAAAGTGCAATACATAAGCACACGATATATCACACAGGTTTTTTTCTGGTTTTGTTTTTTAAAGGACCACCTCACTTAAGACAGATGCTGCACTTAAGACTGACTGTGTCCTAAAATCTTCTGAAATGATAGGTCTGAAGGGTAAAGATGCAATATAGATATTTACCCGTTTCCTCGCAGTCGCTACTGTCTTCAACTCCACCGAATATTCTCGCCAAACTCGACTTCCCAACGCCGTGCTCGCCCAGGAGAACCACCTTGTAGACCTGTCCGTCTGAGTCGCTGCCGGAGGAGATGACCGAGTCGGAGGAGTCGGACACGCAGCTGTTCCTGTGCTGCTCTCCCGGACAGTAGCGCATGAGGCTGGACAGCTCGGTGGGTTGAGCCTCGGGCATCGAGTGCAGCTCTCGGTCGTCCACTGGCATGCTCCTTCTGTGCAAGTTCTGCAGGTGGAGGGGAAACGGCATGCTACCTCTCCTCTTATCCATGTTCCTCAACTTGTCTCCTTTGTTCAAAGTCATGACTCCAAACCTGTCTGTGTAGAACTATATTATAACAGCTGTACTTATAGCCTACCTATAATACTACCAAGAGATATGAAAACATGTCAAAATTATACTTACATGTGAGTGCGGCTATAACGTCTTCCGTTCAATGTCAAAATTCCAGTTGTCCCGTTTTAACTCCGTTATTCTTCCACTGAGGGTTTCGCTTATAATCTCTGACGATACGGATGCCTTATTTATGCGAGTGAGTGACGTCAGCCCGAGGGAGGGCTTGCCTCGGAGAATCACTCATAGTAATATGATTTTGAGGGAGGGGCGTGTGATTCACAATCTTGCGAGGGCGTCCTGCAGAGAGGGGTCTTCCCTCCCCTGCTCGTGTAGTGCCTAGTGCGTGGACGACGATGGGTTTAATCAGGTTCCGCCAAATGCGTTCTTTGTCTGTAAAGGCGTATAACCAGTCATCAATGCTTCAAGAAAAGAAATCAGGGTTCACACATTTTTTTCCCTTTCATTACACTGCTGAAACAAACACTGGTTTTACCTGGTTTAATGGTCTATAGCCGGAGAACAGCTGCACTGTAAAAATCGTCATTTTTATAGGGCAAACCATGTGAAAATGCTGTAAATTAGTATAAGACGCCTAACCATATATGGTAAAATATATTTCAATAGACAACGTCTATGTCATGTTGCTGTCAAATGTTTTAGAAGTAGCTATGAATTACAGAATGTAGGCTATTTTAAATTATCTCGCTCTCTTACACTGGGGTGTTTTCTGTAGCATTTTATGTTATTTAGTTAGTATTTAATTATAGCATAATTTTAGTGTTATGTTTGTTATTCTGATGTTTTCTTGGTTGTGTGGCAAAATGTGCTCTATATTAGCCTAATATTATTAGTTACATCTGCAGGAAAGGTACATTTTTAAGTCATCATTATGCTTTTAGTTGTACCCCCTTTTATTATCATCAGTATTTTACAGTAACAAAATTAAAATACTTGTACAGTTTGGTACATTAACATTAAATTAATTCATGACATAGTTACAAATTGTAAAGTCACAAAAATGTATTTTTTTGTACGTACGTCTTGAAACATCATCACTTGAAACCTTTTTTTTTTTTTTTTGTATATCTTGTAATTGTCAAGGGCAAAACGACCCTTTCATCACATTTTGCTGGAGTGCATTTATAGGTAGTTCAATGTTGCCATCTAGTGGCAAGGATCGGTACATAAATGACCATTTCTTCATGTTTTATTAGATCTGATTTTTTTTTATTCATTTGCTCTCATGTGTAGAGACCGACTCTCAGACTTTGAATAAATTTGCCAAGTAGGCTCCACTCAGTTCTTTTACACACAGACTTATTATGTTGAGGATGTTTATTTATTGCAATGACTTGCCAAAGTTATGGGATTTTTTTATAGCCTGCACTAGCTTCTAAAATTCACCTAACATGCTAAGGCCTGGCCTGGAATATAACTGCTTAACCATGAAGAAACACTTTACAGAGCAATAGACATAACCAAGTCTTGGACATAAGCATAATCATAATACATGTATAAATCACAGTTAGTTGATGCACTGCATCATTTATAATGTATATTGTTTTATTCAGACAATGAGATTGTGAGACACAAAGATGTGACCTGACATATGTCCTTTCTACTTATAGATGCACGATAACAAAAATTAATTTGAAAGTTCGGTATTTTATGACTGGACCGAAAAAGACTTGCAACGTTAGCTAGTCTGGTCATTTATAAAAAGACTATTGAATAAGAGTTCTATTACATGAAATAATATCTATCATACATTTTTAATGCATGCCACAGAAAGCACTTTTTATGACTTGAAAGCCAAGCAAGTGTAATCTAAATCGACTGCTTAGTACCTATTGTGTTTATTATAATATCTGTGCATCATCCCGGTCTTCTGCCTTTATTTTAGACAGACTATGGATTATCTTCAAACCTTTAGATGACAAAAAAGTTTCAATTATAACTTAATTAGCTATAACACAGGTCAGTAACTTGTTAAATTGCAATAACATACACTCACCTAAAGGATTATTAGGAACACCATACTAATACTGTGTTTGACCCCCTTTTGCCTTCAGAACTGCCTTAATTCTACGTGGCATTGATTCAACAAGGTGCTGAAAGCATTCTTTAGAAATGTTAACCCATATTGATAGGATAGCATCTTGCAGTTGATGGAGATTTGTGGGATGCACATCCAGGGCACGAAGCTCCCGTTCCACCACATCCCAAAGATGCTCTATTGGGTTGAGATATGGTGACTGTGGGGGCCATTTTAGTACAGTGAACTCATTGTCATGTTCAAGAAACCAATTTGAAATGATTCGAGCTTTGTGACATGGTGCATTATCCTGCTGGAAGTAGCCATCAGAGGATGGGTACATGGTGGCCATAAAGGGATGGACATGGTCAGAAACAATACTCAGGTAGGCCGTGGCATTTAAACGATGCCCAATTGGCACTAAGGGGCCTAAAGTGTGCCAAGAAAACACCCCCCACACCATTACACCACCACCACCAGCCTGCACAGTGGTAACAAGGCATGATGGATCCATGTTCTCATTCTGTTTACGCCAAATTCTGACTCTACCATCTGAATGTCTCAACAGAAATCGAGACTCATCAGACCAGGCAACATTTTTCCAGTCTTCAACTGTCCAATTTTGGTGAGCTCTTGCAAATTGTAGCCTCTTTTTCCTATTTGTAGTGGAGATGAGTGGTACCCGGTGGGGTCTTCTGCTGTTGTAGCCCATCCGCCTCAAGGTTGTGCGTGTTGTGGCTTCACAAATGCTTTGCCTCATACCTCGGTTGTAACGTGTGGTTATTTCAGTCAAAGTTGCTCTTCTATCAGCTTGAATCAGTCGGCCCATTCTCCTCTGACCTCTAGCATCAACAAGGCATTTTCGCCCACAGGACTGCCGCATACTGGATGTTTTTCCCTTTTCACACCATTCTTTGTAAACCCTAGAAATGGTTGTGCGTGAAAATCCTAGTAACTGAGCAGATTGTGAAATACTCAGACATCAACATCAATACAACTGACCTTGGGAAAATATTGTTTGCTTATGTGTAATTGCTTGAACTTTTTCTTAAACTCACAAAATTAATTTTCAATTTTTTATTGGCAAAAACAAGAGGTACAAAACAAAGCAGTCCAAACTATTTCTGCTGTACACATGCTCCATTTTGATCAATAAGAAATGTCTTTGAAAACAACTCTAAAAGGATGCTATGTCAAAATGAGACTACTATTAAAAGTAATTTTGTACATATTCACAAATATATGACATAGTTACAAAATAACTTTTCGTTCTGTATCCACGTAACATAAAAATGAATTCTGTTTCTCCCATACGTTCTCTATTACTGTGGTTTCCTTTCCTGACACCTTTTTAGCTCACCTCTCACTTTATAAGTACTAATCAGTCTTCCTGATCTGGTACTGTGAGTGTAGCAATAGAATTATAAAAGAAGCAAAACAATAACAATAATGATAAAGGCGCTCACATTATTATTATCATCATCACACAACTCTGGCTTGCCTTTAGGAGTTCAATCAAGATAACGTGTCAAAGGAGCACACTAGAGCGGCAGGCTTCTTCTGATCACATGCTTCTGGTGTACAGACACTGGTTGACCACCTCCAGAAGCTGAGAGTTCTCCAGAGCTGCTGCCACTCTCTCTTTGTCAGCGAGCTGCTTATTGACTGGAGAAGAAAAAAACACAACATATTATCAAACTCAGATACATTGATTTCTAAGGCCTATATATTATCAACACTTTGCTGAAAAACACGATGCACACAATCTACTACATGCCTTCTGCACACTGACTGATGGATCAAGTAAATGGCCTTTAGTATAATTCTAAAAAAAAGTCCACCTTCAGGTCGTAGTACACGTGTAAACATACAAATAACTTTTATTTTGTAAGTAATATTTAAAAATGAACATTTCCTAGACTGAGGGAACTTTCTTTTTATTTGATTATGCATGTGTAACGGAGGCCAGCTAGTAGTTGCTGTGCGAGTAAACCTCACTCCTCTGATCTCAATAGGCGCTCTAGCGACAGACCAGACGCAAGATGCTGCAGTCTTTAGCCTCCTTGTTAGAGCGCCTGACTCTCACGCAGGAGACCCCGGTTCGAGGCCCGCACAGAGTGGGTCGAGTAGGACCCGGATGAGGGGTTACACATGCATATAAAAAAAATTAAATAAAAAAAAATCAAATATGATATAACAGGCTGTTGGGGAATGTTTATTTTTACATTTCTTTATCATCATTGCAGTGCATTGCATTTATATGTTTTGCCACCCACAATTAAAACTACAGAGCTTTGATCATAAAACAAAGCATTTTAACATCCTAATATTTATACTTATATAACATTATCTTGGATCTTACGAAGACATTATTGGGAGATGAGTAACAAATCATGTATATGCATTTTAGGAAAGTGATCTGCTATACTTTTATAAAAATCTCATAATTTATATTACAAGCTATCAGAAATATATCTTATGTTTTGGACGTATAAAGATAACAATATCTGCACAATTTACAGTTTTGCTCAGTGGACTGAATAATATGCGTGTATTTTTTTTTTCTTGTTTGAGTTCCATATTCTCACTATGTCATCCTAAATGGGCCATAAAAGCCTGATGTATCAAATAGATAATATCAAACACATATGCCATGTATAATATATGTATGTATATATATATATATATATATATATATATATATATATCTGCAAAGCTGACTTTTCATCAGCCATTACTCCAGTCACATGATCCTTCAGAAATCGTTCTAATATGCTGATTTATTATCAACGTTGGAAACAGTTGTGCTGCTTAATATATATATATATAAAAAAAAAAAAAAAAAAAACTTCAGGATTCTTTACTTAAAAAAGACCAGCATATATTTAAAATATAAATATTTTGTAACAATATACAACAATACCTTTCAAAAGTTTGGGGTCAGAAATGTCTTTCTTTCTTTTCTTTTTTTTAGAAGAAATTAATACTTTTAATCAATAAGGATGAGTTAACTTGATAAACAGTGATAGTAAAGATTTATATTGTTACAAAATATTTCTATTTTGAATAAATGCTGTTCTTTTTCTTTACTTTATATTCATCAACGAATCCTGAAAAAAATCCCAAAAAATATTCAGCAGCACAACTGTTTCCAACATTGATAATAACGGAATAGCAAATCAGCATATTATAATGATTTCTGAAGGATCATGTGACACTGAAGAACGGAGTAATGATGCTGAAAATTCCGCTTTGCATCACAGAAATAAATTATATTTTAAAGTATATTCAAATAGAAAACCATTATTTTAAACTGTATTTAATATTTCACAATACTACTGTTTTTTCCCCCTGTATTTATGATATGTCATGCATTTCATGCTATTATTTCATAATATGTCATTTTATAATAACGTTTACCTGCATCCTCTGAGGCATGTGTGCCAGGTGTGATGTGAACGTCAATCTAACAACAAATAGGGAAAAAACGAATGACTTAGATGGGAAATCCCAAAGCCTAATGCAAGCCTGTGTTTGGCAGCTCACTAAAATGTACCTTAAACCTGTCAGGCAGGGAGCGCAGAAGCTTGACTTTGATAGACAGGCCAATGAGAGTGGCCATACTGCAGTGTGGGATAGTCGGTGTGAACTCCACAGACACTGTGCTCTCCTCATCATTCACCTACTCGGAGAGAAGAACGTGAAAGAGAGACAGATAGAATATTGTATCCATTTGATTAATGTGTAAAGGTCTATTCTTCTTCAAACTGCTCGCAGATCAGACTCACATTGACGCGCATTTGTTCCACGACATTCAGTTCTTCGAGGGACAGTGGGTGCTCAGGATCGTTGATCGATCTGATTAGATGTGATCATTTAGTTAAGGTCTCACTCAAAGTATCCAAAATGATTTAAATTGAGGCTTCTAAACTATTGCAGCTTGCTAAGAGAAACTGTCAACATGGCAGATAATTCAAAGCAACAAGGCAGACTTTACACAGCACTTGTGTAGCGAGAGCCAAATGATGTAACGTTAACGTATTTTGAAAGGATATCGAAGATTTCTCTGTCATCGATGGGGTCCGCTACATCATCATCTTCATCAGTGGCAGTTAGGAGTCTTTCCCCTGATCGCTGAAATATCAGAGGATTGGCGTTTTCTAGTCGAGTTCCCCCTGACATTATTATCCACTCAACGATAAAAGAATAACCAACAACCAACGCTGTCAGACGTCAGATCACTTCGCAAACACTGCGAAGCCAAAACAAGCCAACCGGAAGTCATACCCGGAAACACTATAAACGCTTTTTAAAATAAAAGTTTTATTTATAAAAGTCCGGCAGTTTTCTTGCAATTTTTGCCTTTGAAGAGATATAATAATAAGAAGAATAATAAGAAGAATTAAGTTATTTCTCATTATATACATCTGCAACATTTTATCTCAGATTTATGGCAACAATGACCTCAGATTTAAACTATTATCATTGCACAGAATTACCTCGTGGATCAGGGCCATTTTAAAGTGATTTGGTTTTTGAAAGGGGGGAACAAAAAATTATTTGTCTTTAACTAAGAGGGGTGATAAAAGTTCTGTGATATAGGCTGAGACATGGGCATTCAGTAGCCTATTATGCATTTGCATAGGCCCTACACCCATTTCTCTAACTAACACACGTGAGGCAGATGTGAGCAAAACATTTCCAAAACATCTGTCATGCCAATGTGGCCATGACTGTCATTAGTACACTCCAGAATAACATAACAGGTAGAAGAAAGCAAAGCTCTTTCTTCCCTGAACTAAAACTGTTAGTTTCAGGTTTAGAATATGCTCACATCAAAGCAGTGTTCATCAACCTTGAAAGCATGACCTTGATTTAACAGTGAGGTTAGGCTATTTGTGAGCCAACCAATGCTTATTCCAGTTACGAAGAGCCTTTTGACCTAATTGTTAGGCATCTGTATAGATCTTGAGTACCACAGACAACACACAAGGCCTAGCAATCCTATAGGCTACCAATACAATCTCAGTGACTGAGTGTGGCAGAGTGCTATAAATCTTCTTTATTTCATTTAATGGCAATAATCATTGTGAGATAGCCAGCATTTGCTTGCACATTTCCTTGCACAATAATAATAACTTTCAGATACAGTCCAAACAATCTAAAAAAAAGTTTAATTTTAGTAGGCTATTTGAAGATTTTGTTTTATGAATTATCCCTATCAATCAATTGAAAAACCCAGACTCTGGCTATGTTTTCTCACACAATCCTTGCTATTTGTTTTTGCTCTCATTAAAAGTATTGTACTGTGTCACATTAGTTATGGTGTTATTTGCAAGACGGTATCTGCATTAGCTGCCATAGAGAATTCATGTGTTAGCGTTACACATTTGCTCTGTCTCTTATAGCTTCTTGAAATAAAATTGCTGTTTCATAGCATTCATAGCATTTGCTTTCTTCATAGAAGCTCTGGCATTTTAAGAATGCAATGTGTGCTTTATTAAATTACACAATTTGGCTACTACTTCAGTGTTTAGTTCATAATGAGTCTCTTCCTGAGACTCACACAAAGGATTTATAGACAACGAGATTATCAAGAGAGTCACATGTTATATTTAATGGACAAGTGCTTTTATTGCAGGCTCTTTTCCAACCAATGAGACTATAAATCTGGCATCACTGCTCTGCATTTGCCTGTTAAAAAGATTACCATTCATCCGCTGGCTGCTTCTATGTGCTAATGTGAAGGTCAAAGGTTAACTGTATGAAAACTAACAAAGGAATTTATTAAAGTGCCACAACCTCCATCTCGTTTCCGGGACATTTGTGCATTCCTAAAATCACAGAGGAGCTGGTATTGATCAAAGCCTTTTGTTAAAAATGTAATGCAGCCCACTTACATTTACTTACATTTTCATCATTTCCCCCTTAATTGACTATTTAATAACTTTAATAAGCACAATGTTTATAAATCCCTTGATCTGTTGGGTTTTTCAGGACCAACTGTAATTAATATTCCAACCAAACAAATTGAGAAGTTAAAATAACAACTAAATTCCCACCACATCCCTCTTATCACTCTCTGATATTCTCCCACTTGTCTCAAAATACTTTTTTTTATGCTGCACATTTTCTTAACTGTCAGTGCTCTTCTTTCTCAGCAATTTAACATCACACCTTTCTGCTAGTGTTTTTCACAGACACAGGATAGTCTCATGTCAAGTGGAAAACTTTGACTAGTGGTTTGATGGCTAGAGCAGTGGAGGTATAAGAGGGGTGCGATGAAGCACAATGAGCTCTACATTCAAATACATATGGAGAGCTTCAAGAGTGGAAGGTCTGCTAGTATGTCTGAAGAACATTAGCTGTCTCCAAATAGCATTACTCATTTTATCCAGAGTGAATGATTAAACCAAATGGCCACTCTTAAAAATGCCCTGAATCTCAAAGATTTCCGGGGGTAGGATGTAAAAAAAGAGGCCTTTTGTGCTGATTTAAATTTGATCTTAGCATCTCGGTTTATCTCAAGGCAAAGCGGCCACAGAAATGATTTTGCAGCCACAAGGGTGCAGTCTTAGCACATGCTAATATCTGCCATGTATTCTTCATTATGACAAAAAACTGCAGTAATCTGCACTGGGTTAATGCCAGTTGATAGGGCAGGCAGATAATCTCTGACATCGTTCTTTCTTTCTTCCCTCATTGGTTGAACACAAATAAGAGGATTATTAAGGTGCTGTGAAAACAAACTCCATTTCTTTCCTCAATACCAGAATCAGATCCACTGGTTTCCTGAAAAAAAAAAAAAAAAAAACAGCCCACATGTACTAACACTTAAAATGATTACATTATTTGCCCCACAGGACCTTCAAGAAGGTCACCTGACTGCATCCCGACCCTCGTAAAAGGGCCAGGAATGACACTTGAATCTGGGTGTCTTGGTCCTGTTGAGTGCTTTTGACATTTTCAGTGCAAGTAGGTCTGTCATTCTGTTTAATATAATAACAGAAGTTGTTCAAAAGTTTACAGGAAGAGTGATTGGCCTGGTTGTGATGAATAAAGAATGCACATTATGATAAAACAGGTAAGTACCAACAGAGTAAGTGGGGGACACATACAGTTTTGAAATGAGGGCATATAGGTAGGAAACAAGTCATAGATTACAATATCATTGTTAGCATGAGGGGGAGGTATATTAGTGTAGAAATGTGTGCCACACAGATATACCCACCCAACAGTACTGACCTATTTAGTGTGAACGCTGCCATAATGAGGTTCTCTGTAGCATTTAGTCAGAAAGTCAAATGCCTCTTAACTAACGTCACAGCTGTTCACAAGTTTACGGTTTTGTCTGGTATTTATGTTTTTGCAAATGACTTTGACAGAGATTTTAGACAATATTTGGCGGGCCATGCTCTATCAGAGTGCCAGGGTTAACCACAGGTTTTGCGGAGGGTATTACAGATATTCAGTCTTGCAGTAGATTCATTTGTTTACTCTGGATTTCAGCCATACTGCTGATTAAAGACTCAGATGGCTGGTAGAAAGCCAACTTGATACACACTCTTTGGAGCTCAGTAGGCCTATGTATCTGTTACACTTGAAGAGGTAATAATTAAGAATAAAGAACACAATAAACTACAAATAAACAGTTTAAGAAAAGGATCATGTGGTTGGTCATTATCGCAAAATAAACCCTCAAAGGGTGATCAGGACACAGATTGGAGGCCACTCACCCAATAGATAAATATTTAGACATGAAATATATATCTTAGTTGATTATTTGATCATTTCACATGTATATTATCTTAAAGTGTCCACTATAAAATCACAGCATCTGCCTATCGTATAAACAAGCTAGTGATAAGAGATATGAAAATGTACGTACATATATATACTTAAAACTTGTGCACTTTTTGACAATTATGTGCAAAATATGCTGACTGCCAGGCAGACTTTGGACTGAGATGTGTTTGATGTAAGGGTTCTCAGGGAGAGGTAATGGTTCTCAGGGAGAGTTAAAATGCTGAGGTTGTTGGCTTTTGGGGATGTCACTGTTTTTGGTTCTTTCACCAGCGGGATTGACAGGCTGAATCACTGGGTTTAGGCAGCTGCAGCCATTTTATTCGGGAGTTCAGCTGACTGGGCACAGAGGGGTGAAGAGAGCAGTCATTGCTTTCTGTCTCGTTTTCGTATTTTCAGAGTCAGACCAAACTGTAATATTTTGCTTGCACTATTTTTCATACTTAGGCTATCATAACTATTAAAAGTGGCAAGAAAAGAAAAGAAAAATAAGGAGAATCTCTACAAGGCTGTAAATGTTACGTTTTGCCTTAGTTTTGTTTTTGTTTTCTGTTTTCTGTATGTTTAGTCATCTGTTTTCCTATGTTCCTTTGTTCTCCTTTTCCTGCCACTAATCAGTTGTCATGGACACTCATTTAGGATCACACCTGTTAGTCTTTGAGTTAATCATCATTGTGTATTTAAGTTCCTCATTTCCTTTCATTCATTGTAGGGTATTGTTTGTGCTATGCACATTGTTTGTTATGTTACTCTTGTTGTTTTATCTGAGCTTGCTTCATTTATTAAGTGATGTCTTTATTTTGATATGCTTTGTTTATCTTCTTCTTCCTTGGACTAAACGGCAAGGAACCATTATAGTAACGGTTATAGTAACCATGTCTTGAGGGGACCATTTTTTTTTTTTTGTAGAAAGCATAAAGAAAAACAACAGTGTAGGAAATCCTAGGTTTAATTCTAGTTTGGAAATAATAATTTTTAACTGTTCACACATAATATTTGCATTAAAATGCACATAATTATGTACTTTTATTTGTATACGTATTGAAAACATAAAACGTTTTTTTTGTATCATCACACTTAGGATCATTTTCAATTCAAAACGGCCATATTTGAGAAAAAAGTTGAATAGTTTGCATAACTGGATGTTACTGTCGGTCGTTTAACAATTTATTTCCTATAACAGTTGACTTATTAAATGTTTCACTATTTACATTTTACCTCACTCTCATTCAACGTTGAGTGTTCGGGGGAGGTGGCGGAGCGTGTCTGTCATGTAGACAATGATATCAATTTAATATTTTAGCAATGTTTTGGATTACATTAGCACTTTCTGATAGAACAAAATGTTATTTTGCAGTATATTGGCTAAAACACACTTAAGTCAGAGTAAAACTGACTTAAATTACTGAAAAACACATGATTGATGAATTCTGAATACAATTTAAAGGTGACCTATAATTCAAAAT